CTCCCCACCCTGCCTCCTCTCTCCAGTACCCAAACCTGGACCCCTGTAAGCAGCTGTGGTGCAGTGACTACAACAACCCGTTTTACTGTAAAACTAAGAAAGGTCCTCCACTCGATGGAACCAAGTGTGGACCAGGGAAGGTGAGGCCACGCCCACAACTCAGTGACATCACCTGAACATGTTTACGTTGTCCTGGTGGGGGCGCTCTCGCACTAACATATTATACATGCAGCAAGACACCTCTGCTGACTCATTCTGTCGATGACATCACCTGTCTCTGGGTGAAGCACTGTTACAGGGGATTCTGCCTGAGGTTGACACCCAACCTCCTGAAACAAGATGGCGGCTGGGGAACCTGGAGTTCTTACGGCAGCTGCTCCAGGACCTGTGGGGGTGGAGTCAGGTTTCGGATTCGCCGTTGTGACAATCCATCGTGAGTGAGTCTCAAACGATCCATCGTGATGATGTCACGCATCTAAAACAGTAATCACATGCACAAATCTGTCACTACTCTCAGTCCAGCCAACGGAGGGCGCACGTGCATCGGAAACAGCTTCGAGTTTGAGCTGTGCAGCCAGGACGAGTGTCCAGCACTGACGGACTTCAGGTCAGGTTGGGTTCTGCTAGGATCTCCACCAAAGTTCCACTGAGTTCTCCTGAATTCCTTCTGTTCCCAGCTGAGTTCTTGGGTCGGTTCTGTGTCTCTGTGTCTCAGGGAGGAACAGTGTAAAGTCTGGAACCCATTCTTTGAACACGAAGGAACGAAACATCACTGGCTGCCGTTTGAACATCCAGACTGTAAACACACACACACACACACACACAAATGAATGAATGTGTATACAACCCAGATGCAGATCATCTGACAGTATGACCATCACGGGACAGGTCATGTGACTCTCACAGATGTGACAGGTCATAAATAAATAAATAAAAAACATTTCTACTGTATTGGTCCCATATTTGGGAAATTGAAGTTGTGTTAACAGCAGATCTGCTGTTAACAGTTTGCCCCGAGCAAGCGCCAAGCATGTGGTTCCTCTGGGAATCGAACCTTCAGAGGCAGGCGTGCTAACCCAGCACTATGGAACTGACTAAGACAAAAACAGCACAGGTTCCACCGAGATGTGATTCTGACAGGTCATGTTATGTGATGGTCATGTGATTGACAGGTCATGTTATGTGATGGTTCATGTGACAGGTCATGTTATGTGATGGTCATGTGATCATGTGACAGGTCATGTTACTGCATTTGTCTGCAGTGGATCTTCGCTGCCGTCTTCACTGCCAGTCAAAGGAAACAGGGGCAGTGGTTTCCATGAACAGAATGGTGCATGATGGGACAGCGTGTTCCTATGGGGACACCCACAGCGTGTGTGTGAGAGGAGAGTGTGAGGTCTTTACTTTTACTTCTACTCATATTAACTAACGTGATATTCTGTTTAACTGTGGTAACCTGTTAATCTGTCCCGTACTCCTCTGTCCTCCTCTGTCCTCCTCTGTCCTCCTGTGTCCTCCTCTGTACTCCTGTGTCCTCCTCTGTCCTCCTCTGTACTCCTCTGTCCTCCTCTGTACTTGCCTCCCCTCTCCTGTCCGGTGTATCCTCACCTCCTGTTCCCTGTACCTCTCTTCTGCTTCGGTCTCTCCTCGCCAACTTCTGCAGCATGTGGGTTGTGATGGTCAGATTGCCTCGGACCATCAGGAGGATCGCTGTGGGGTCTGTGGAGGAGACAACGCCACCTGCAGGATTATCAAAGGAAACTTCACCCGTAGCACAAAGAAGTCAGGTGTGGACACTATCTGGTTTTAAATCGTGATCTGGATCTGTTCAGATCTTGAGTCACGTTTGAAGAAACAGCTTCAGGTTCTAAGCATGGTTCTGTAGAACTTTTTATTCAATCTCCATAGTTGTTATATTCCAGGGTACCTGAAGATCCTTGAGATCCCTAAAGGAGCACGCCACCTGCTGGTGCAGGAGTTTAAGGGAACTCCTCACATCCTTGGTACTGACTCCACAGGAGACGTTGTTGCTCATCTACATGTCAGAGAACTTTCTCAAATCGTGTCTTTTGTCTTTGCTACAGCAGTGAAGAACCTGGAGACAGGTCACCTCTTTCTAAACGATGACCATGAAATTCCACAATCCCGTGTGGTGATTGAGAAGGGTGTGGCCTGGGATTACATCAACAGAGATGAGCAGGAATTCCTGCAGACCTCAGGGCCGCTAAAGTATCGCGTCCTGCTCATGGTTAGTCCATCTAATGTCCGCCGTATGTGTCCTAACATGTCCTCACTAGCTTTAGTCAGGTTTGGACCAAAACTGTTTGTGTCCCAGGTTCGTTCCCATGGGGACACCAAAGTGACGGTCTCATACAAGTATGTCATTCAGGAAAGACTGCGCTCATCATTGGAGTCCAACCTACTGCAGGAGGACTCTGTCTTCTATGAGTGGGCTTTGAAGAGGTGGTCCCAGTGTTCCAAACCCTGCGGCGGAGGTACAACCCGTTGCTCCACAGCAAGTAGTTCATGAAATTTCTCCCAATCCATCAAGAAAAAAAGCCATCGGTTCCACACATTGTTCCACTTCTTTGAGGACAAGTCATCTGAACACAGCCTGTTCAGGCTTCAGGCTCAGTAAATCCAAACTTCTGGATGAAGTCACCACAACAACCTCTTCTGTTTGGCCCAAATTCACCAAACAGGTTCTTCTTCAGCGGTCCTTTTAGAATAGATTAGAACTAGTTAGAACTAAACTTGTGTGTCTGTGTAGGTTCTCAGTCATCCAGGTCATCTTATCCAAAAACAGTTCCATCAGTTGCCCTCCATGTAACTATTTTGGAACTAGGCTGTCAGCTGCTTTTTACAACTTTCCACCTGGTTTTTCTAGGTCCGCTGTGGTTTTAAGCTGTTTTCAGTCCTAAAATGTGGTACTTCAGTTGTCCTTCAGGTGGAAATCACCCGTAATGGATACAGTCAGAGCTGTGTGGTCATCACTGACCTCACGACGACCTCCTGACGACCTCTTGTTTCTGTGTTACAGGGAAACAGTACACCAGATTTGGCTGCAGGAGGAAAGCTGATGGGAAAATGGTTCCTAGGACACTCTGTTCCAATGTGAAAAAACCTCGGGCTATTAGCCGCAGCTGCAACACTGACACCTGCAGCACACCACGGTAACGCACCCTCGGTAACCATGGTAACGTTAAGTCTTCAACTAATCACAGACCTGTGCTGACGCGACTAGAATACTCCGTCATGGCCGATGTGTGTTCTACTGCAGCTGGGTGACAGGAACATGGGAGGACTGCAGCGCCTCATGTGGTCAGAGTGGGTGGCAGCGTCGATGGGTGAGCTGCCAGGAGGACTCCATCAGGGCTCATTTGCATAAGCAACAGGGATCCAGCAGGGGGCAGCAGCATTCAGCAAACAGCAAACTCTGTCAGGACCAACGCCCAGAAGGAAAACGTGTGTGCAACCGTTTTATGTGTCCTGCCACCTGGAGAATCGGGCCTTGGACTCCGGTACAAAGCCAGAGGAGGAGATGCGGTTTTTCCTGACTGAATATAAATCCACAGGTGATCAATGATAATGATTATCTCTGTGTTCACAGTGTTCAGTGTCATGTGGAAATGGAACTCAGGAGCGTCAGGTTGCGTGTTCCAGTCCAAACACCTCAACAGGAAACTGCACTGAGGCTCAACCAATCACAACACGCAGCTGCCAAGCTCCTCCCTGTAACGGTAAGCACTGACAAAAGTTTTTAAAAGTTGGTTCACTTCACACTCTCTGATCTGGCTTTGTCTGCCCCCTACAGGTGACCAGAAAAACTCCAACATCCAGTGGTTGTCTAGGTCCAACCCAGCCTTGCCTGCCCCAAAGATCTCTTCCAGTAAACATCTGATTCTGCCTCTGTTTTTGATGATTCTAACTACTCCTGACTCTTTACGCTATAGTGGCTTTGGTCACATGACTGAAAACTGTAAATACTGTATATTTTACTTGCCTCTTCTCTAGAGCAGCGGTGCCGTGGAGACAGGTCCATGTTTTGTCGGATGGAGGCATTACATCAGTACTGCTCCAATCCAGGTTACCGACAGATGTGCTGCCAATCCTGCAGCAGAGAAATCCTGAACAGCACGAGGCCAGCTCCGACCACCAACAGCAGGTTAGCACCAGCTCCGACCACCAACAGCAGGTTAGCACCAGCTGCGACTTCCAGACAGCAGTTATATGCCAGCTCTCGTAAAGTAAAGCAGGTCGAGGTGTAAGAACTAGAAAACAGCATTGAAATACTTCTAACATCCTGATGTTGACTTAGAGATACTTGGCCAACGTAGATATTTTAACATGTTAGGTCTTTGTGAATGTTTTATTGAAAAGAAATTAATATTCATTTGTTCCAGCTTTTGGATTACGGACACAGAGACGATCACCTCTGCAACTACACACAGCTGGTCTGACGGCAGCCCAGTCATCAGTGACATCACCAGTGTCACGCCCAGCTTTACTGAAACTCCAACCCCAACGAGCAAAAGTAGCTCTGACTTTGTGTATGTGGAGTACGAGGATTACGACGAGTACTCGTCTTTTGAGGAGCCTGTGGTTCAGACTGAGACTCTGGAGCTTAGATCAACAGCACCTCCTTCTCCTGAACCTTCATCTTTGTCTCCAGAAAATGTCACCTCTCCTGAGCCTTATTCTTTTGCTCCAGTACAGACACCTCATCTAGAACCATCAATCCCTACTCCAAACTCTGCTGGTGCTGATCCGACTCACATCCCCTCAGCATCAGCTGGTCCTGAAAATCTCGTCAATTCAACTCTATTGGGGGGGCAGAGGTGGCAGATAAAGGTGTATCCTACAGACCCATCGATATCTTCATCCTCCTTCATTCCTCAGACCAAGACAGAAAACAACTCAGTGGACGAGGTGTTGTACCAGATTGTGGAAGAAGACAGGGACAATACCAGAAGGCATCAGAACTACTTTGTTCCCCGGATGCCACCCTTCAGAGAGCGGACACAAAACAAACGTATTCAGCAACTTTTAAATGAGAAACGAAGGCAGAACCTTCTGAAGAGAGTCAATCATAACAAAGAAAAATAATTGTCAATTAAAGGAACTGCTAAAAGACATGTTTAAATTCCTGTGTCGCATGTTTTAACTCTTCATGTTGTGCAAATAATAATGTGGAACAACAGGAAGTTGAGGATGATTCTAGAAGCAGGTTTTCTCTGAGAAAAAGTAAAGTTCAGACCAGATCCCACTTTTATCTCTGTATGTGTTGTAAAATAAAGAATGATCTAGAGTCGGACCAAGGCCTACCTCTTCTGATTCCTTTAATTACTGAACTTCACATCGTTTATTCAAAAAGTGTGACTGATTTTAAATCCTATGTCCTAACCTGCAGTGGTTTCTCTTTTACAGGGATTTGTCAAGTGTATTGTGTGTATTAACCACTTTATGTCAATCATAAACCATACTTTTTGGGTGACGAAACTGCAATGAGATAGAGAAAGACGCTTGAACAAAATATAACTTAAATGAGACAAAAATTGGACAAAGTATCGCTAAAGACAGCAGCTGAATATGTTCAGTCTGGTCATAATGTATTTGAACGATGTTTCTTTTTTTCTTTCCGAACGAACCAGTGATAGAAAATCGGTCGAAAATAAGAAACAAATACATGTAATTACAGACTCCGGTTATAGCGGTTGTCATGCCGATATCTCTCTGTGTTGTAAACAGTTTATCTCAGATCGGATAACAGTTAAACTGAAGGATAACCTAAGCAATTCCTCCCTATGTGTGGGGAGACGGACGCTGAACGAACGGAGGGCGATAAAGTCGTTCTTCCTGACCTTGGCGGAAGCAAAAGTGGCAGTTAAATCCAAGATGGCGGCCACGGTCGTTCGCAGTCTCGGCTCTAGTTTGAGTAAAAGCTTGCGGGAGGTCCGGGTCCATCTGTGCCAAACGTCGGCAGGCAGTAGAGGGGCCAGGTGAGTCATTTAGCCACACATAGAAGAGGGGTGTATATAATTATATGTATGTATGTGTTTTAATTAATAAACGCGACCTCTTTGCTGCTAAGAGCGGACTGCTAACCGCAGCATTATGCCCTTAATGCTAGCAATGTGCTAACAACACAGCAAAGGTTGCTAACGGTTTGCACATAAAGCAGATTTTTACCACTAGAATAGTAACAGTCAGAATTTCAACGTAGTCTTTCGTGTTAGGAGTTTTAAATCTGATGGAATATGATGTATAATAAACACCTACTCTGCTCTACTTTGTCTTGTTAATATGAACTCAGTATGTCTTCAATTGTATATTCAGTCTTTAACTTTGATACACAGATGAGTTGATGGACCAATGTGATGTGTTTGGTGTTGTTTTGAAATAATCAGTTTAATAAGTGTTTAAATCTGTTTGTTGGGACATTGTCACGTGACGTCACGGGAACAATATGAAACAGAGACTTTGTGGAGCATCACTATGTCCCTCTGAAAAAGTCCAACCCTGACTTTCCAATCCTTATCCGAGAATGTTCTGGAGCACAGGCCCGATTATGGGCCAGATATGGTAAGTTGAGCTGCATTGCATCATGGGAGTTGTTGCTGTGACATCATTGGGGGCAAAAGCCAGTCTTGTGGTCAGTCTCTAGTATTTACTCAATGGCATTTCTTTTTTTTACTTCACCTACTTCAGTTGGATCAGCCTTCAGTTTATTCAGAGAGATGTTTTGTTTTTTTTGCCACTGACCTCTGATCTCTTCTGGTCTTGGCCCTTGCATCTCTTTTTTTAGCTTTATAAATTAATAGGAAAATAAAAATAGCCAAGTAAAGGAAGATAATTGATTGATAGACTGTCCAACAGGAGCACGGCTGCATGTAACACCCATGTCTCTTCAAATGTCACTGCTTTGGCAGATAATAAAGAGCCACCTTTAGACATGAGGTGACAGCTGTCATCACGTGATTATTGCAGAATGTATTGTGATGTTGATTAAAAAAAATCTAATGCTGATGTTTTTCACAGAGTTTGGTAAAGAATGCAGTGTCTCTGTGGAGAACATGTCATCTGACCAGGTGGCTCAAGCTCTGCGCACATTGGTCCAGTCAGCACCCTGACACGTTGTCATCCCCCCACCCTCTCCCTCTGCTGGGCGGACCAGTCTAATTAAACTTCTCTGTTGAAATGCAAATATGTTAATGTTAATAAAAAACAATATTGTTCAGAATTACTGTTTTCAGAGCTGTGTTTTAAAATGGAAGGAAAGTCATGTTTAATTATGATAACAGGAGCAGGGGCTGACACCATCATCTCCGCTTTGTGTGAAGATGCAGGAAGTGATGTCAGCATCATCACAGCAGAAAATAAAATCAGTGTAAATATAGAAAAGACATTTTTTGGATTTTATTAATCAGCAGTTTGTAATTTGTAGAACGTGATTCTTCCAGTACTTTCTTCTTTGTACTGATGCTGTAGTTATCAAAAGGCCTTCACTGCAGGTGTTGCTGTACATAGTGTCTGAAAGAACTGCGGCAGAAGCTGCTCCGCCTGCAGGAGAGTGTGCGTAAGAACACGAGTGATGGTGGCGTTAAGAAATGCTGGTGTTCTTCAGTTTTTCTTTCAGTTTAAATTCACGGTAAAATGCTGAAGTAAAGTTTTGGTTTTTTTGCATACGGTAAAAACAGTCACGCGGAAACTAACATTACTGTTTCACATAAAGAACAAGGGAACGTAGCAGAATTTAGATATAAAAACAGGACTTTAAAGCCACATTTTGTTGCACAATTTAATTCAAAATGTCTCTTTTCTTTTGAACATTTTGGAAGGTATTAATTAAAAAGATAAAATAAACAAATGCCCATTGTGGATCTCAGCTTTGTTACTGTGTTCCCGTCAATCCTCCGGTTGGTCCTTGGACACCTTCGGGTGATTGCAGCTACACCGAGGAGCCACTGATTGGCGCTAAAGGTCAACGTGAACTCGATTTAACGGAAGTGATATAAAGTTGTTGTTCGTGAGACTGAGGCTACGACAAACTAGAAATGTATAAAATGTCTTAAAGGTTTCTCTTTCACACGTGCGAATGCAAACGGAGTGACGGCGACAACCCCCTCAGAAATTCGTTTAAATTCTGCAATAGTTAGTCGTCGCTAAGTCCTGTAGCTGGAAGGAACCTCCTCTTAGGGAGTAAGACGACAGAAAGGGAAGCAGTTAGCCGCCGCTTGCTGTTATTAGCTAAAACTCAGTGTTTGAGTGACTCGACTCGATACCTTGCCTTTTTCCTCTGGAGATTCAAAAACGTACCACCGCAGTGATGCCCGAGAGTAAGTGTGAAACACGCGTTTGTTTATTCCCACTAAACATTGTATTACCCTTCAGAACACGGCTAAGATTAGCAGCTATATCTATGCTAGACCTGCTAAATATTAGCAGGTCTTCAGCGAGCAACTCCACCGATATATTTTCTGTATTTCTTTTACTTATATTCCAGTACTCTGATTTAGCTTCGGTTATATTTGGTGAATTCTTTATTCGGTGAATGCTGTATTTGGTAACACAAAAAACCCCCAAAAAAACCAATAAGCCACAATTAGTTATGTAATAAAAACAGTTTGGTTATCCAGATCAAATCCACGATAAATCAGATAAAAACCTAATCTATAATAATCAGAATATAATCGGGGATTATCCAGATCAGAATCTGAAAAACGAGATTCTCTTCGAAAAAATGAGACGAACTGTTCGAACGTCATCGATTATCCTGGATCACGGAGACATTCGTGGACCAACATTATAATTCACTTAAATTACAATTGTTAACTGTTGGTAGGATGTTTGTACGTATCAATAGGATGCACTGTTGTCGTGTGTTTCTTTGTGTCAATCCATCTGTATTGTTTTTGATTCATTTTCGGTCAATAGCGGAGTCCTACTCCAACCCTCTGGCTCCGGAAGGTCATGAGGTGGACGAGCATCGAGCTGCTGCCCAGTGAGTCTGTGTGTGTGTTGTTGTTGTTGTTGTTGTTGTTGTTGGTCTCTGGCCTACAACAATAGTAGAAATATATAGCATAAACATTCACTTTTTGTTCATGTCTTTTTTAGCCTTTACATTTGACCAATTTCCCAGTTTCAGTCCAGTTACTTTTTCTGTAGACGTAGTTACATTTTGTTTAGGGCTAAAAGCTGTGGATGAGGATGTATATATTCACCAACTCTATCAGGAGACATTTTCAGTTAGACCTTTGATTCCATAATTATAAAGTATAATTCCATCATCTGCGTTTTCACTTTCTATCACACAGCCACCCTGGGATTATTCCAGATTAATCACATTGTGGCATCTCTTAAGGCCAACATGTAGTCAGTTCCTTCAAAGCCTTTAGTGACTAATTACCTAACCAATTGTGTTCTTACTCAGGAATTGTCATATAAGGGTTTTTGTTTACTTTTATATATTTTCTCTCTCCAGGTCCAAACTGACCAATGATGACTTTCGAAAGTTACTAATGACACCACGGGCAACGCCCTCTTCAGCCCCACCGTCTAAATCCAGGCACCATGAGTGAGTAACAGGGTGGTTGATGGAGGCAGCTGTTAGTCCTGCTGACTGGTGTTAGTGACAACCAGGTGAAGCTGACTGACTGGTGAAAGTCCACAGTCTGAGGAAGAAGTCATTTGTTACAGATCATTCATTAGAGACTTCAGAATGCCTGAAACAAATGAGAGCAGCTGGTCGCCAGTGGTACTGCAGTCAGGGGTTACACTGGGTGTGGGGGGTTGGAGCGATCCAGGTTTGACTGACGATCTGTCAACTGTGTTGGTTTCAAAGAATGCCAAGGGACTACAATGAAGACGAGGACCCTGCCGCACGGAGGAGGAAGAAGAAGAGGTGAGTGGCTGTTTGTACTCAGGTTGTTATGATGTCATACACGGACACACCAATAATGAAAAGTGATTATTTTCCTCCACAGCTACTATGCTAAGTTACGTCAACAGGAAATGGAGCGAGAGAGAGAGTTGGCTGAAAAATACAGGGACAGAGCAAGAGAGCGACGAGACGGTGTCAACAAGGACTACGAGGAGACGGAGCTCATCAGTACCACAGCCAATTACCGTGCTGTGGGACCCACTGCTGAAGCGTGAGTTCAAGTCATGCTTCATGGAAACTGAAAGAATCCATCGCTTCTAACCCTAAGCTAACCATTTGTCCTCAGCGATAAGTCTGCCGCTGAAAAGCGTCGTCAGTTGATCCAGGAGTCAAAGTTCTTGGGTGGTGACATGGAACACACTCACTTGGTGAAAGGTCTCGATTTTGCTTTGCTTCAGAAGGTCAGTCACAGGACGTTGCCCCCAAATATGATGGTGATGTCATCAGTAATGTCGACATAATGGTTCATGTTTGTGTTGCAGGTGAGAGCAGAGATCACCAGCAAAGAAAAGGAAGAGGAAGATCTGATGGAGAAGGTCCAGAAAGAAGCCAAGTAAGAACCTTCTTCACCCAGACCGCTCACTGTTAACTGGACATGAAGCTGGACTTCATGACCTGAGGACCAGGGTGGGTCTGGTTAAACATTTTGACACCACTGGTCACATGACAACCCTGAGCTTTGTGTTCTGGCAGGAAGGACATAGAACCAGAGGAGAAGATGGAGTTCAAGACTCGTCTTGGTGAGACCACCAGCTCTGAGGACTCTTAAAGTTTATTATGTGGTGTTGATGATGTCACTGTGGGTGTGTCTCAAGGCAGGAACATCTACCGCGTGGTCTTCAGGTCCGGCCTGTTTGAGAGGAATGAGCTTTTCCTGCCTGGACGGATGGCTTACGTGGTCGACCTGGACGACGAGTTCACAGACACAGACATCCCCACCACACTGATCCGCAGCAAAGCCGACTGTCCCAGTATGGAGGTGTGGTATGATGATGCGCCCCCTGACCCCCGACCTCAGACTTGTTGACCCTCTGTTTCCCAACGATGCTGCTGCTCTGACGTCTGGAGCAGTGAAAATGAAGGTCCACAGAGTCAGTCCTGCTAACTGTTTTCTCTGTGTGTGTCAGGCTCAGACCACTCTGACCACCAACGACATCGTCATTTCCAAACTGACTCAGATCCTGTCCTACCTCAGACAGGGGACACGGCACAAGAAGATCAAGAAGAAGGACAAAGGTTAGACTGAACCTGTGTTTGCCCGAGTGTGTGTGTGTGTGTGTGTCACAAGTGTAACTGTGTTTGTGTATTTTAGGTAAACTGGACGATAAGCGAGCTCCTGAGGCTGATCTGAGGTCAGTTACCTTCTCTGCCCCATTTTCATTTGTAAACAAATGTATTTCCAACCTTTCAGAGGTGTGGACATTGGACAAGCTGCAGTAACAGGATCGTCTGTCTGTGTGTGTGTGTGTGTGTGTGTGTGTGTGTGTGTCAGCATCTTTGATGACATTGGTGACTACATCCCGTCCAACACCACGTCATCCAAACCTCCCAAAGACAAGGAGAGACACCGAGACCGAGACAGAGAGAGAGAGAGAGAGAGAGACAGAGAGAGAGAGAGAGACAGAGAGGAGGAGGTGAAGAACAGGAGGCACAGCTACTTTGAGAAACCACGAGGAGACGAGCTCCAGGCGCTGGATGTGGACACAGGTGAGGGACAAAAGAAGAAGAAACATGTGATGTCATGTGATGATGTCACTGAAGTTATTCTAATGTCAGTGCTGATGTCACAGCAGGTCCTGGATCAGTCTGTGATCAGATCAAGATGATCAATGAGAAGTTTGGAGCTACGGCAGCAGGAAGTCAGTGGAGTGACGATCAACAACCATATCCTGTTTTTGGTCCAGAGGTGTGTCAGTGTTGGGGGCAGAGGTGTGTCAGTGTTGGGGGGCAGAGGTGTGTCAGTGTTGGGGGCAGAGGTGTGTCAGTGTTGGGGGCAGAGGTGGGTCAGTGGTGGGGGGAGTGTGTCAGTGTTGTGTTGGGGGCAGAGGTGTGTCAGTGTTGGGGGCAGAGGTGTGTCAGTGTTGGGGGCAGAGGTGTGTCAGTGTTGGGGGCAGAGGTGTGTCAGTGTTGGGGGCAGAGGTGTGTCAGTGTTGGGGGCAGAGGTGTTTTCTTTGACTGCGTCTCTACTGCGTCTCAGAGACGAGATGGTAAAGAACAGCTGGGAGATTTCTTTGGAGGATCAAACTCTTATGCTGAGTGTTACCCTGCCACGTAAGAACTACACCACACCACACCACACCACACCACACCACACCACACCACACCACACCACACCACACTACACCACACTACACCACACCACACCACACTACACTACACTACACTACACCTAGAAACACTGTGTGTGTGTGTGAGACAGGATGGACGACCTGGCCGTGGACAGTGATGAGGAAGTGGACTACAGTAAGATGGACCAGGTGAGACAACACTGTCTGTGTGTCTGTGTGTTCATGGTTCAGAGGAAGTGATGTCATCGTGTGTTTCAGGGAAATAAGAAAGGTCCTTTGGGTCGCTGGGACTTTGATACTCAGGAAGAATATTCCGACTACATGAACAACAAGGAAGCGCTGCCCAAGTAAGTCCTGGACCTGGTCTCAGCCTGGTCTGATGAATCCAAACCTGGTCCTAACCTTGACCTCTGACCCTGCAGGGCAGCCTTCCAGTATGGGATCAAAATGTCTGAAGGTCGGAAAACCCGTCGTTTTAAAGAGACCAATGAGAAAGCAGAACTGGACCGACAGTGGAAGAAGATCAGTGCGGTGAGAATAAACCTGGATTCACTGAGCTCAGCTCTTTAACTGGGTCATGTGACACATCACTAACGTGTGTGTGTGTGTGTGTACATCAGATCATTGAGAAAAGGAAGAAGATGGAGGCAGATGGGTGAGTGTTTGACATCATCATGGTCTCAGCCAATCAGGATTTGGATCATTGTCAGTGTTGACTCTGTTTTTGTTTCTTCTTAGGGTGGATGTGAAAAGACCCAAATACTGAACACCTGTTCATTCACTGCCTCTCCTCGTCCCCTCTCCTCGTCTCCTCGTCCCCTCTCCTCGTCCCCTCTCCTCGTCCCCTCTCCTTATCCCTTCTCCTCGTCCCCTCTCCTTGTCTCCTCGTCCCCTCTCCTCGTCTTGTTGCTTGTCAACAATAAAAAAGACATTTTTCATTAAGTTTATGTGATGTCATTTGTTTGAACTTGAGGCTCCGCCTCCTCCATTAGCAAAGCGGCTGGACTCCTGAATTGATGAAAAGTTCAGTGATGTTTGATGGTCAAAGTCTGACTTTTAAAGCTTTTATCCTCAGTATAGAGGACTGAAAGTCAACTACTTGTCACTGTGACACACCACTGCACCACTGTACCACAGCAGTGGAGCTAGAACAGTCTCTAAAAGAATAAATACACAAATGCATTTTTTTCTACATGGGGCCTGTCAGCAGCCAATCAGATGTCTCGTTTGTTTGCAGACAATCACACGACTTCATTGCGCTACAGATCCATCTGCCATAACAGAAATGGCGTCTGGAAGCGGCAGTGGAGTGCGTTTACTAATTCATACTTAGGAAGGAAAATAACGCCATTTCTGTTATGGCAGATGGATCTGTGGCGCAGTGAAGTGACCTCACACAAGGCCCCTCGTGGGGATACAGTTGTGTGATTGGCTGCAAACGAACCAGACATCTGATTGGCTGCTTTCCATGTAGAAAAAATGCAATTGTGTATCTGGTCACCACTAGACAAATCTCAAAAATCCACAAACAACAAATGCAGGAAGATTTACAAATTAAAAGCACGTTATAAATGCACGTTAGACAATTCACAAATGTATTTTATGAAACTAAAAAATATCCTCACATGCTTACGTTTGTGAACTTTCAAAATGCATTTGTGAATCCTTGTTTGTCTATTTAGTCTTTTTGAGACCTTTCCAGCTCTACAGCCAGCAGGGGGCAGCAGTGTGTGGGGACGGTGCCATGCTCGGAGCACCTCGGTGGTAACTCGGCAGCTGGTGGACTCCAACCTGGAACCTTCCTGACCCAAGTCCACTTCCTTAACCACTAAGCCACCGCTGCGCTGCTCATTCATCCTGTGATCATACAAGTTAAATGACAATACTGTAACAGCAGACAATAATACAGCAGGATGGATATGTTTCATGGCTGCAGTAACCTTCTCCATCAATCTAAACTAGTTGTCATCTTCCAGCTACCATGCTGGGTTACTTACCATCCTGAGATCCAGCTGATAGTCACCAGTCACCGTCCTTGGGATTGAAAGTCACCTCTTTTCCTGCTTCCAGAACACATCCAGCAAAAAACAAATGCACAGTATATTGTTAAAAAATATATAATAATTAAATCCATGTAATGGCCTACGAAGGTCTATTAAACTTGTAACATAAATGCCGGCTAACCGGGTCAAACTTCTGTGGGATATGTTTGTTGTAACATCTATAAAGAGATACATGAAGAAGACATTTAAATCACGTAGGCTAATTCAGGGTAAAAAAAAAAAAAAAACATGCTTCTACCAACACAGTGGAAATGCGTTTCAATTCCACTCACTGAATCCACATTATTATTGAATTATGATCAATAAAAACTGCTGCAATCAAACAAAGAAAGTCTTTGTGTTTACACAGCGCCCCCTATTCACAGGAACACATTGACATTTTTGCAGATGTATTAAAAAAAGAAACGGTGAAACAGCACATGGTCCTAACTTTTCAGAGCCTTTGCTGTGACACTCATATATTGAACTCAGGTGCTGTCCATTTGATGTGATCATCCTTCAGATGGTTCTACTCCTTCACTGGAGTCCAGCTGTGTTTGATTCTACTGATTGAACTTGATTAGGAAAGCCACACACACCTGTCTATAGAAGACCTTGCAGCCCACAGTGCATGTCAGAGACAATGAGAATCTGAAGCTGAAGAGCTCACAGACAGAACTGTGTCAAGGTTTCACCAACATTTCTGCTGCTCTGAAGGTTCCTCAGAGCACAGTGGCCTCCAGAATCCTTAGATGGAAGACGTTTGGGACGACCAGAACCTTTCCTGGAGCTGGCCGTGCGGCCAAACTGATCCTTGGTGAGAGAGGGGAAGAAGAACCCAAAGATCACTGTGGCTGAGCTCCAGAGAGGCAGTCTGGAAATGGGAGAAAGCTGTAGAAAGTCAACCACCACTGCAGCCCTTTATGGCAGAGTGGCCGACGGACGCCTCTCCTCAGAGAAAGACGCATTAAAGCCCACATGGAGTTTGTTAAAACCCCCTGAAGGACGGCAAGAAGGTGAGACATAGGACTGAACTTTTTGGCCTGAATTCTAAGCTGTACGTGTGGAGAAAACCAGGCCGTGCTCATCACCTGTCCAACACAGTCCCAACAGTGAAGTATGGTGGTGGCAGCATCACGCTATGGGGGTGTTTTTCAGCTGCAGGGACAGGACGACTGGTTGCAATTGAAGGAAAGATGAATGCGGC